GTGAAAAGTGGGGAAGATAGTACAGGATGTTCAGGTCCTGAAGTGGCTGCATCTCTTTTGCTCAGTTTTATTGCCCAGATTGGGTCAAATAGACCCAACTCACTGCTAGAAAGAATGAGAAATGTAGTCTTTCTGAAGGCTAAGGAGGAAAATTAACACAATGGCAACCACACAGTGATCTATCACAGTATGTAGAAGAAAGCATTCTATGTCAAGGCATACTGCTTTCCCAAACAATAAACTATGTATATATAAAAACCCTTCTGGGTCACATAGTATATTCTTTACACACCTCTTTCAAGAAAAATTTAAAGAGACCAGTAACTAAGGTGAGTTTCAACGCCATATAGAATGGAGGCTAAGAAAGTAAAGACTTGGGAATTGAAAAAAGTCTGTCTTTGAATTTCAACACTACCACTATCTGGCCAAGAACATGGTGGCAGTGTGATGTTGGGCCAGTTGCTTAAATTTGCAGGCACTCCAAGGACTCTCATGGGGTTTAAATGAGGACTCTCATGGGTTTGCCCTTAATCCAACATGACTAGTATCCTTATAAAAGGGGAAATTTGGAAACACACATACACAACAGGGGGCATGCCATGTGAAAATAAAGGCAGGGATTCAGTGATGCATCCACAAGCCAAGGAATGCAGAAGATGGTCAGCAAGCCACTGAAGCTACAGGAGTGGCATGGGATAGATGCTCCCTCCCTGCTCTCAGAAGGAATCACTCCTGCCAACACCCTGATCTCAGACTTCTTACCTCCAGAACTATGACACAATGAATTTCTGCTATTTAAGCCACCCTGTGTGTGGTACTCTTATCACAGTAGCCCTGGGAAACTAATATAATGTCCAAGCAGTTATTGACTCAAATACAGAGAATTTAATTTTAAAATGTTTGTATGGTGTTCACATTTTAAAATGTATAATGTTATTTTCAGCATATTTCTGAAATCAATTTTCCATCCATTGATTCAACAGTTTCAGAGCTACAAAAATGGCAACTTCCTAAGAGTCACTCTAAGATTCATATGACTAGCAGGATTAGAGAGTGGCTTTTTTTGCTGTTTGCTTAATGGGACTATTAGAGACCCATCTTTTGAACTAGCTCATTAATATTACATAAGTGACTGACTACATCACCTTTGCCAAGTCCCTTATCTGATTCGTATCTTCCTCCTCCTCTGAAAAATAAGCACCTGAGGCTAGATTCCTCAACTAATTTCCAACTAAGAAATTCTGTGGCTTTCCAACAAGCCATTCTGTGGCTTGTAAGAAACCTTGCCCATCTAGGAAGACATGATGGCCTGTGGTCCACATAAGCTAAGAGCAGAGCTGCTTACAGAAATCAGCTCTCCTAATATAAAGGGACTTAAGAGCAATATTAAAGGAGAGTGCTCCAGAAAATTAAATATTCAAAGTGAAGAACGGTATATTAAAAGTCTGTCACCATTGAGAATGCATAATTTTAGCATAAATACTCTAGAAATATTCATTTAGTTTGCTAGGTGTTATTGTTAATAAACAGATCCCGCACCTAGGTTTGTCATATGTCATTAATAAATCAACCCAAGAATGCAAATTACAATGATTTTGAATTATCTATTTACTGTTTAATTATATTTAATTTTAGACTCTCCTAAAATGGCCTAATAAAAATCTGGGATGCTAAAAGACTTCTTCATCTGCTTACTCTGTGTATTTGCTGAAAATAATTAATTATATTAATTGTTTGGGGATTTTTTTCCTTAAAAAACTATTATTGGTAGGGATAGACCTGCATAGAGTGTTGTCAAACATGCATTTGTTTTTCACTAGGGTTGTAGTAGAATATTGTTTGCAGTAAAATTTGTAAGGCAAACCTTTGTTCACTACCTTGGGATCAACTTGGTATAATGATTTGCTCTAACAACTAAATAAAAGTACTACCCTTAGATTCAGGCAGAAGGCCCCTGCTCTGGCTTCTATATGTTACAGAGCTTGCTCTGGCCTTTGTCTGTTCATGCCACTCCATCCAAGGTGAGGAGGCCCCAGGGCCAGGAGACATGCTTGCCTGGAGGTCTCATAAACACATATACACACACCTTTCTAGGACATATTCTAGGTGTCCACCACTCTGATATCTCCTGGTCAAGGGGCCTAAGCTCCTCTCCAAGGACTTAAAAGACCCTGCAGGAATTCTCCCTTTTATGAAGGCACCTTGGACAAGGTAGAACATATTTTATCTATAATTTGTCATCTTGATTTATAATTGGTTAATATTTGGACAGATGGCATGAAGGTTTCCATTCATGCTCTTGCTCTGGACCTAACATATGTGAAAAGGAGGCTGAGTAACATCATCATTTTATTTATTTTTAAAATTTTATTGGAGTATAATTGTTTTACAATGTTGTGCTAACTTCTACTGTACAGCAAAGTGAATCAGTCATATGTATACATATATCCCCTCTTTTATGGATTTCCTTGCAGACCTTGGAATGGTCCATCTCTTCTGCTGATGATTTATTTCCTAGTTTAAGTCACACCTGGCACACAAGTAAGTGAAATTAATGGCTGAGAAACAAACAAAAGAAGTGAAGAATAAGAGACTAAAGAAATTCTACAGCTTCTTCTTTCCTGTGGGTTTTAGAGAACAGTTATTGTTCTTCAGGAAGCTTTCCCCCAAATGAGTGATGATGATGATGATAAAAATGGATTCTTCTTCCTAAGTCCTGGGCCCCCTTCTAAACACTTATACACACTAATGAATCTTATCATTATAGAAACAACAAAGGCAGATCCTGCAGTAACTAACCCAGTTTTACACATGAGGAACCCTGAGCATGAAGAGGTGATTTGTACGTGGTCACACAACTGGACAATGGAAGAAGCAGCAGGCTCCAGAGTCCCAGATAAAGTATTGTCCACCCAGCTCTGTGCAGAAATGTCAACTTTGCAAGCAATTTGCTAGCAAGCTCCCCCTCTTCACCAACCAGTAATGTGACCTGCAGCCTTTGCCACAGCCTGAGGGGCAGCACAGACTTTCAAGTAACAGGGTTCTACTGTCAGGGTTGAGCACGGTTGCTGAGGACTGAGCATTTTGTCTTTTTCTTGTTTTGTTCTGCATTTAAGTGCTGGTATGAGAAGAAACCCTTTCATGGATCACAGCCTTGTCATGGCAAAGGGGATTGTGTAACTTAGTGAAGCTATGAGCCATGCTGTGCAGGGCCACTCAAGACAGAGGCGTCATAGTGAAGAGTCCTGACAAAACACGGTCCACTGGAGGAGGAAATGGCAACCCACTCCAGTATTCTTGCTGTGAGAACCACGTGAATGGTATGAAAAGGCAAAAAGCTATGACAGTCAATAATAGCCCCAGGAAGAATGAAGCGACTAGGCCAAGGCAGAAACGACACTCAGTTGTGGATGTGTCTGGTGGTGATAAACAAAGCCTAATTCTGTAAAGAACAATATTGCATAGGAACCTAGAATGTTAGGTTCATGAATCAAGGTAAATTGGGCGTGGTCAGCAGGAAATGACAAGAGTGAACATTGACATCTTAGGAATCAGCACACTAAAATGGACGGGAATGGACGAATTTAATTCAAATGACCATTATAACTACTACTGTGGGCAAAAATTCCTTAGAAGACATGGCGTAGTCAACAAGAGTTGACCCTTGTAGTAAACAACAGTTGGAAATGCAGTACTTGGTTGCAACCTCAAAAATGACAGAATGGTCACAGTTCATTTCCAAGGCAAACCATTCAACAACACAGTAATCCAAGTCTGTGCCCCAACCACTGATGCCAAAGAAGCTAAAGTTGACCACTTGTATGAAGACCTACAACACCTTCCAGAACCAACACCAAAAAAAGACTTCCTTTTCATCACAGGGGATTGGAATGCAAAAGCAGGAAGTCAAGAGATACCTAGAATAACAGGTAAGTTTGACTTTGGGGTGCAAAATGAAGCAGGCAAAGGCTTACAGGGTTTTGTCAAAGAACATTCTGAACATAGAAAACACCCTTTTCCGACAATACAAGAGATGACTCTACACATGGATATCACCCACTAGATGGTCATTACCAAAATTGGATTATGTTCTTTGCAGCTGACTGTGGCTCAGAAAATTAGTTCTTTACTGCAAAATTCAGGCTTAAATTGAAAAAAGTAGGGAAAACCACTAGGCCATTCAGCGAGAAAAGAGTCACTCAGTCCCATCTGACTCTTGGCTACCACATGGACTACATAGCGTGCCAGGCTCCTCTGTCCATTTGATTTCCCAGGCAAGAAAAGTGGAGGGGGTAGCCATTCCTTTCTCCAGGGTATTTTCCTTACCCAGGGATCAAATCTGGATCCCTGCAATGCTGGTGGATTCTTTACCCGCTACGCCCTTAGGGAAGCCAACACTCAGCAAATTCTGGGAAGAAGAGAGGGAAGGAGTGTATGCACCTAGTCAAATTAAAGCAGTTTGATGCCCATCCCCCAAAATACACCCATCACGGGATTATTCTAACCCAGCCTCCATCCTCTCTACCCATGGAGGGGCGAGGATCAGGGGTCATCCTTGGACCTGGCCTTCAAAGAAAGGCCCCGCCCGAAGGAATGCCAGGGTCTCTCCCACGAGAACTCCGAACGGTTAAGAGGAGAGGAAAGCCCCAGTCTCCCGGCGGGGAGGTGCGGGAGGAGATGCAGTGAGGCCACGGACACCAAGCTACAAGGCCGCCTCTCCACCACCCGAGTGCAGACTCGGCCCGCCCTCTTCCGGGGCGCCCCGCCCCTACACAGCCCCGCGCCCCGCCCCTCTTGGCCGTATGCCCCGCCCCTCCATGGCATCCCGCCCCCGAGGCTGTTTGCTCCACCCCCCACGGCGCCGCGCCCCACCCCTCATGGCCTCTGCCCCGCCCCTCCACGGAGCCGCGCCCCGCCCCCTGCGCGGCGTCGGGGCGCCGTATCGGCCCGCGGTGCATGTTGGGGCCGTCGCCTGGGACAACCAGGACCCCAACTGTCCCATGGCGGAGCCGAGCGGCCGCGGCGGTTGGATGTTCTGGGCCTCCGCGTTGCCGAGCCCCGACTACTACGAGCGGGTGGCCCACCTCCAGCAAGGGCTGCGGGACAGGTACGGCCTAGCTGGGGCGGGGGCGGGGAGTCGCCCGGCCGGAGGGTCCGCGGGAGCCCCACCCCCGACCACGGTTCCCATGGGCCGGAGTCCAGACTCGCCCTGTCCCCCGAACTCCCGGAGAACGGAGTTTACCGGAGACACCTCCCGCCCCGTGGGAGGTCCCCCGCGGGAATGTCCCTGGATACGGTCAGAAGTGAGAGCCGGAGTCTCCTGCCTGTCACTCTCAGTCAAAGCGTGTGAGTTTCTCTAGTCTCCTTCCACACGCCCCCTCCCCGGCCCTTCAGGTTGTCATCCCGCCCTGACAGCTGCGCTGTCTCGGTGTTGAGAGGCCAGGAACGCAGGCGAGAGAGAAAGAGAGAGAGAGAGAGAGAGAGAGAGAGAAACATGTGCCCCGTAAAAGATTGGTTGTTGAAGCTATTATTTAGCTGCTAAGTTAATTGGAGTTGGAAATCTCATTAGTCGACAAGAAAGGAAATAGATTTTTGGATCTCTTGATACATAGCACCTTTAATGAGTGTTTAAAAGTTACGAGTTATTTTACTGAAGAGGGGTGCTGCACACCATGATTCTGAAATGACAATAGTTACATGTAAGATAAAGGTAGAAGTTACTGGTTTTGAAAAGGAATTGTATTCATCCTATGCTAAATTTAATTCCTGTCAGATTGTTTATAGAGCATCTGCAACAGGCCTCCTTAATCTTCCTCACCTTTTAATTTATTATTATTTATTAATTTTGTTTAACTCTTAATCCTTTTCTACCTCCTGTTTTCTTTCTGACATACCACTGCTCACCCACCCACTCACCTCTCCTCCAAATTAAAAAAAAATAAATCACTTCTTGCAGTGCCTTCCCTGTGCCAAGTATGAATCAACCAATTCCTGATTTATGCACATTCTTTGAGACTTCTAGGTAATGCGTCAAGTGACTTGTATCCTGCCTACACTGGGAATTCCAGGAGGACAGGAACCACATACAGCTGGACCTTCAGTTCGTGTTAGAGTACCTGAAATGGCAGCGGGACTGGATACATGTTTATTGAATGAGTAGAAGTGTCAGCCAGCTAGTGTCCCCCAGCTCATGTCCAAAGTCAACCAGCTAGTGTCCAAGAGTTGTGAATGTGTTATGTAGAACTGAGTAGCCACTCATTTACCATTAAATAATGACCATTTTCCGGTCAGTCAGGAAAACTGGCATCGTGATATTTCAAAAATGGTATTAAATGCACACACCTGATAATTAAGGGACAAAACATTGCTCTGTGCATCGTACACTTAAAGGGCTCATTGACTCTATTCTGTTAAAAGAGTGGCTTCCTTACCCCAGGCCTTGAGTTATTTGTATCTCTTAATCCATATTCTAGTTTTATTTTTATTTTAAAATTTTGGCAAGTGGGATCTTAGTTCCCTGACCAGGGATCAAACCTGCAACCCCTACATTGGAAGTGCAGAGTCTTAACCATTGGACCACCAGGAAAGTCCCCCTTAACCCAGGCTCTAATTTTAAAATGTTACTAGTTTGAATGGTAGCATTAAAAAAGAAAAAAAAGACAAAGTTAATTGTGAGTTATCATTCGTGTTTCCTGTGCTCAAAACACCTGGCTGTTTATAGTCCTTATGGTATAATAACTGTGCAATGTTTATTACTCACTTTATGTTTAACACTTAATGCTTTCACTGTTAAGCAAGGTGAGGCTGTTGAAATTATATAAGGAATCTGAGTCAAGCTTTATAGCCTATTCATGGTTCTGCCTTTGGAGGTTATTTTCATTTTTGAGTCAGTACAAATCTGTTACTGTGTGTATTCATTTTTCATTTTAAAAGTCCCTAACTAACTCTAATGCATAGGTAATAAACACAGAGGCAAATAACTTTGGATACAGAGAAAACTGCAAGAGAAATGTAGAAACCAAGGTTCTAGTCCAGGAACAGTTTTGTGACCTGGAGCTGGTCATTCAGCTTCTCTGACATGTTCATCACCAGAGATAGGGGGCTTGAGGTAAAGTAAGGCCAGGGATTTTTTTTATAGTAGAGCAGTGAGATTCTGTTTTGTCTAACAGAAGCAGAAGACATTAAGAAGAGGTGGCAGGAATACACAGAAGAACTATACAAAAAAGATCTTCATGACCCAGATAATCACAGTGGTGTGATCACCAGCCTGGAGCCAGACATCCTGGAATGTGAAATCAAGCAGGCCTTAGGAAGCATCACTACAAACAAAGCCAGTGAAGGTGATGGAATTCCAGTTGAGCTATTTTAAATCCTAAAAGATGATGCTGTAAAAGTGCTGCACTCAATATGCCAGCAAACTTGGAAAACTTAGCAGTGGCCACAAGACTGGAAAAAGTCGATTTTCATTCCAGTCCCAAAGAAAGGCAGTGCCAAAGAATGCTCAAACTACCTCACAGTTGCATTCATCTCACACACTAGTAGAGTGATGCTCAAAATCCTCCAAGTCAGGTTTCAACAGTACGTGAACTGTGAACTTCCAGATGTTCAAGCTGGATTTAGAAAAGGCAGAGGAACCAGAGATCAAATTGCCAACATCTGTCGGATCATTGAAAAAGCGAGAGTTCCAGAAAAACATCTGTTTCATTGACTACACCAAAGCCTTGACTGTGTGGACCACAACAAACTATGGAAAATTCTTCAAGAGATGGGAATATCAAACCACCTGATCTGCCTCCTGAGAAATCTGTATGCAGGTCAGGAAGCAACAGTTAGAACTGGACATGGAACAACAGACTGGTTCCAAACTGGTAAAGGAGTATGTCAAGGCTGTATATTGTCACCCTGCTTATTTAACATATGCAGAGTACATCATGCAAAATGCTCGGCTGGATGAAGCACAAGCTGGAATCAAGATTGCTGGGAAAAATATCAATAACTCACATATGCAGATGACACCACCCTTATGGCAGAAAGCGAAGAAGAACTAGAGAGCCTCTTGATGAAAGTGAAAAGGGGAGTGAAGAAGTTGGCTTAAAACTCAACATTCAGAAAACTAAGATCATGGCATCTGGTCCCATCACTTCATGGCAAATAGATGGGGCAACAGTGGAAACAGTGACAGACTTTATTTTTTTGTGTTCCAAAATCACTTCAGATAGTGACTGCAGCCATGAGATTAAAAGATGCTTGCTCCTCATAAGAAAAGTTTTGACCAACCTAGACAGCATATTAAAAAGCGGAGACATTACTTTGCCAACAAAGGTCGTCTAGTCAAAGCTTTGGTTTTTCCAGTAGTCATGTATGGATGTGAGAGTTGGACCGAGAAAGCTGAGCACTGAAGAATTGATGCTTTTGAACTGTGGTGTTGGAGAAGACTCTTGAGAGTCCCTTGGACTGCAAGGAGATCCAACTAGTCAGTCCTAAAGGAAATCATTATTCATTGGAAGGACTGATACTGAAGCTGAAACCCCAATACTTTGGCCACTTGATGTGAAGAACTGCCTCATTTGAAAAGATCTGATGCTGGGAAAGATTGAAGGCTGGAGGAGAAGGGAACAACAGAGGATGAGATGGTTGGATGGCATCACTGACTCAATGGACATGAGTTTGAGTAAACTCCTAGAGTTGGCAATGGACAGGGAGGCCTGTTGTTCTGCAGTCCATGGGGTCGCAGTGTCAGATGTGATTGAGCAGCTGAACTGAACTGAGAGCAGTGAGCCTTAAAGTAAAAGAAAGTTGAAAGCTGTTAGTTTTGCAAAGCAATGAGCAATGAATATTATTGTCTGTATGCTGTTCGAGTGTTTGGATGTACCTGTTTGTTTGACCAATCCCAGTGACCATAAGGACCTTTGTCTCCTAAAACTGGAGTCATTTTGATGTCTGCAACCCTAGGTAGTCACAGCTGGTTTGTCAGTCTGGAAATGTCCTGGGGATGGGAGAGAAAAACAACTTGCCTTTTCTCAGTCCTCTTAGTGGTGGGTCATTGCAGTGTTTAGTTCAGTTCAGTTGCTCAGTCGTGTCCAACTCTTTGTGACCCCATGGACTACAGCATGCCAGGCCTCCCTGTCCATTGCCGATTCCTGGCAGTTCACTTCATAAGTGGTGTATTTCTAACCCACATTGTCTTAGCTGTTGTCACATAGAGATGTAATTTCATATTCTGAATTTTTTCCTTTTTGTATAAGGTGTTTTCTCTGCATTGTGATGAAAGCCAGTCACTGAATCTAAAAGAGCCTAATACAGTGATTTGTTACAATGTATCTAGTGCCACAAGCAGGGTAGCAACATGAATGTGGAATCAACTCTTGGAATCCTATGAAAACATCCCTTTGAAAGGCTATTAACCAGCCCATTTTTTCAGTGCCAGTATTGATTCAGAGTGCGATACCATAATAGTCTAGAAATTGATGCTAAGATATTTGTTGAGTAAAGCTGAAAACAGAATTACAAGTGGCTTATAAGGAGAAAACTAAAGCTCATGGCTATGCTTTGAGGACCACCAAAGTGTGTAAAACTTCAAAAGGTCCAGGTCTGGGATGAGGTGATGGAAACTGGGACCTGTGAATATACATCCCAGGGCTGGGTATTTAAAGATTTTGAAATAGAGATTTAAGGTGCAGAAATTGCAAGATGATTCTCCCAATAAGCCTTTCTTTGGCTTTTTTGTTGGGGTAAATATCTTAAGTCTTAGATTTAGAAGAACTGATAGGAAAGTCAGTGTCAGGGGTGCTGCCGTGTGGATGTGTTTAGAAAAATGAGCCTGTGAGGAAGAGTTAATGAAATCGGCATCATTTTGTCTGGAATTACAAGGCCAAGAGGTGTTTGACTGTGATTTTTCAGTTTTTGAAGTGTTACAGTAGAGAAGTGTGACCAGTGGATGTCTGTGGGTAGTGAAGATAGAGTACAAACAAGGAAGTTTTACATTCTTTATTGAAAAGAACTGGTTGTTTGAGAGGTGATGGGTTTCCATAAAGAATGTAGTCCTTTTCCATGTTAGGTCATAGGTGAATTTTTTAAATTATTTTAAAAGAAGTCAATCTTACAGAAAAGTTGCAGGTATTGGACAAAGACCTCTAATATTCCCCTCACCCAGATCCCTCAGCTCTTAACATGTTACTACATTTTCTTTCCCCCTTTCTATTTGTCTGTCTGCCTGTCTAAAAGCACGAGACTTGTCCAAACCATTTGAAAACTGCAGGTATGTGATGCCCCTGACACGATCACCATATAACCCTTCTTGTCAGGAAACTAACATCGATACACCAATCCACAGACCCCAATCAGATTTCAGCGGCTGTCCTAACACCATTTTTTTCCTGGTCCAGGGTTCCACCTGTGAACCTGTGTTAATGTGTCTCTCCAACCTCTCCTGGAGAAGGCAATGGCAACCCACTCCAGTACTCTTGCCTGGAAAATCCCATGGACGGAGGAGCCTGGTGGGCTGCCATCTATGGGGTTGTACAGAGTTGGACATGACTGAAGTGACTTAGCAGCAATAGCCAGCCTCTCCCAGTCTGGACTCATTCCTCTGTCTTGACTTGTCTTTCGTGTTCCTCGCAGTTTCATAAGATACACCTCTCATCCCAGGGGATAACCCTCCAGCTGGGCCTGTCTGATGGTTCCTCGCAAACAGACAATGATCACGCTATCCTGGCAGGAGCACCACAGGCCTGAAGCAGGACATCAGGGACAAAAGTCATAGCTGTGTTTAAGGATCTTCTACCCTTGTCATTTAGTGTCAGATTGCTTATACTGTCCAGTCAGCCACTCCTTGTTATCATACTGATAGTGAAATCTTAGACAGGGAATAAAAATTTCTAACATGGAAGTCGTTATTGCCATATTTATTCCAAGTTCACTCTTAGTAATGAGAAAGTAAAGATCTGTTTGAGGCTACCAGTTTAAAAATTTGTGATTCTACAATTTTTTTTCTTTTTTAAACGTAGTTACTTCCCAGGTAAGGAATGGGTTGTATTCCACCATCAGAGATTACGTGTTTGGATTTTGGACATCATTTTCCCTTTAAAAGGATTTTGGCTAAATGGTGGTTTTCATTCTAGATTACACTGAGCAGAGAAATTTACTTATAATAAAGCTAACAGTATAACCTTTGGGGGGTTTAAGGGGAAAAAATGACTGAAGGAAAATAGAAACTAGCAATCAAGGGCTCCCAAGTGACCGTGCCTCAGCCCTTTCCCTCAGGAAGCTACTGAGCCCTTCCTTTGCCGAAATCCTTGTCTTTGATTCACAGTCTTTTTTTTTTTTTTTTAAGACATTATATGATTTCTTTTTCAGCCTTAGTTAATGCTAGCTTAAATTAGCAGCATGGCTTCAGTTGAAGCTGTTACTCTGGTGGTCATTGAGCAGAGTCTGCGGTTGAACATCCCCAGGGCTCTTTTTGAGGCTGGAATGGCTTCCTGTCCAGCGGTTTTCCCCTCCAGCCACTGGGTTTTGGCCACTGCCACCATTTCTGCTGCCCAGTTTCCCCTGCTTTTCACCAGGCCAGGTGTGCAGGTGGGCATGCCCGCTCTGTCCTCCAGCTTCCTGCCAGCACTCATCACAAGCTCAGAAGCCTGTGTGGCGTAGCTCCTGGGAATGGCAGTCAGTGACCAGTCATGATGGTGTTTCCAGGTTATACAAGGAAACGCCCTCAAATTACAGTCGTGGTGTCAGGGACCTGGTCTCCCCTAAACGTGAGTGAGGCAGGTCTGCTTCTCAGAGACCCCTTCCTGACTCAGCCATGAGGCCCTGCCCAGGCCTGTCTGGTGGAAAGCAGAATGAGCCCTCAACCTGCAGTCCAGGATGGATTTAGGGTAGCCTCATGTCTAGACCTGACGGAATCCTCGTAGCTCTCAGAGATGCTGGCCATGTTGTATTTTACATGTTTATCTTGTGTGTTGTCTGTCCTTAACTCTTGAATGTCACTGCCTTAGGATAGGAGCCTTAGTTGGCTCATTCACCAAGTCAATCCCCAGGACTAAAGCAGAGCCTGGCTCATGAAGGCACTCAAGAAATAATACTTGTGGAGTGAATGAACCTGCTTTCCAGGCTTTTCTTACTGCATTTCCACATTTACTTCGAAAAGCTTGTTCTTTTTGTTTCATACTGGTGTCCTTTCTGCTTTTTTACTTCCCTCGTGACTGCTAAGTTCTTTTGTGTATTGAGTTTCAAATGCAGCTGGCATTTTCTGCTTCTTAGACCAGAGAGGGTTTCCCTAGTAGCTCAGCTTGTCAGGAAGATCCTCTGGAGAAGGGATAGGCTACCCACTACAGTATTCTTGGGCTTCCCTGGCAGTTCAAACTATAAAGAATCTGCCTGCAATGCGGGATGCCTGGGTTCGACCCCTGGGTTGGGAGGATCCCTTGGAGAAGGGAATGGCTATCCATTTGAGTATTCTTGCCTGGAGAATTCCATAGACAAAGGCACCTGGCAGGCTACAGTCCATGGGATCACAAAGAGTCAGACATGACTGAGTGACTTTCACTTTCTTTTCACTTCAGACCAGAGAAGCATTTTCAAAAAGGAGATCATGTTCTAAATTTGACTGCCTGTTACTGATCAGTGTAATTTATTCATAAAATATTTCTTTATTATAGTGAAAAGAAGAGATTGGACCTGGAAATGAAACTTTATGAATATCATCAGTCTGATGCATTCAGGTAAGATATGACAGCAGAAAATTTTAAGACCAGTTTGCTTGGCTCAGATGGTAAAGAATCTGCCTGCAATGCAGGAGACCCGGGTTTGATCCCTGTATTGGGAAGGTACCATGGAGAAGAAAATGGCAACCCATTCCAGTATTCTTGCCTGGAAAATCCTATGGACAGAGGAGCCTGGCAGGCTACAGTCCATGGGGTCGTAAAGAGTCGGACATGACTTAGCGACTAAATAACAATCAAAATTTAACCCTAATATATGTTACAAATACCGTAGTTGTAGTCCTGTTACCATTCCTTATTTCTAATGTATAAATGTTTCAAGTAAACACTGCAATTTAGTATAATCACTATCAAGTCTAAGAATAAATTTGATTAAAATAGATTTTAAAAACTATATTTTCATTATTTGGTATTTGTGTAATTTCAGGAATCTATTTTGTTTAAATATCTTAAAAATTATACACGTTATAGTCTTATCTTTTTTTATCACAATTTAAACATAGTGAATCTGTAAATGATTAAGGCATAATTATTATAGCTGACCTTTCAACAAAATGGTAGGCAGGATTATGTGGTATTTCATTTTGGAGTTTCCAAACATTTCTTTATTTTGGGGGGCTCCAAAATCACTGCAGATGGTGACCGCAGTCATGAAATTAAAAGACACTTGCTCCTTGGAAGAAAAGCTATGACCAACCTAGACAGTATATTAAAAAGCAGAAACACTACTTTGCCAACAAAGGTCCATCTAGTCAAAGCCATGGTTTTTCCAGTAGTCCTATATATGGATGTGAGAGTTGGACTGTAAAGAAAGCGGAATGCTGAAGAATTGACACTTTTGAATTGTGGTGTTGGGTAAGACTCTTTGAGAGTCCCTTGGACAGCATGGAGATTCAACCAGTCGGTCCTAAAGGAAATCATCCCTGAATATTCGTTGGAAGGACTGATGCTGAAGCTGAAACTCCAATACTGTGGTCACCTGATGCAGAGAACTGACTCATTTGAAAAGACCCTGATGCTGAGAAATATTGAAGGCAGGACAACAGAGGGTGAGATGGTTGGGTGGACTTGATGGACACGAGTCTGAGTAGGCTCCGAGAGTTGGTGATGGACAGGGAGGCTTGGCGTGCTGCAATCCATGGCATGGCAAAGAATCGGACACAACTGAGTGAGTGAACTGAACTGAAACATTTCTTCACAATTTGAGCAGAGTTACAGTCCATATGCTGTTATAAAATATTTTCATAATACAGTGCATTATTGCAATTTCTAACAAAAATTTAAAATATCTGAATGATATTTGGAGCATTTTAAATTTCTAAAGTTTTTTTAATGTTTATGGGTTATAGTGTATAGTTTGATTCTATTTCTATATGAGCAAGTAGTTTTGAAGCTGTCACATAAAAGAATGCTGATGGGCTGTTCAGCTGCACAGGGCCACATAGACTCTGCTGTTGACACCACACTTAATTTTGAGAAAGAAATCCATGTAAGTCTTTATGTGTGAGTGGTGTACTGTGGTCTTGTATCCATTTCTCAGGAAAGTTATGCCTAGAGGTGATACCTCATTGATGTTGCATTAATTTCCTCTCTAAAGATGCATATACCTTCTGTCCTTTAGGCTGCAGCATTGGGTAAAATACCTTAGAATACACTGTCTCATTAACAATTTTGTTAAAGAAAATCCTTATGATAAAAAAATAAATAAATAAATAAATAAATTAAAAAAAAAAAAAAAAGAAAATCCTTAGATTTCTCCAAGTGTAACTCCATTGTTTAAAAATCTGCTTTTACTTTTCTAGAGCTAAGCTGAAGTATATAAAGCTAAAGAAATACTTGAAGGAAATATGTGAATCAGAAAAGAAGGCTCGTATTCGAAACCAAGAATGTTTAAAACAGTTCGAGAGGATCCAAGCTGACATTACCGCAAGTTTAGAGAAGGTGCAACAACTGAAGGTGGTGTTTTGTAATGTTTTTTGTTTATGTTTTTGGGTTTTTTTGTCCTTTTTTGCTAAGATTGGGAATGGTGAGCAATGTTTCAGATCTGTGACAGTCACTAATGTTAGGTTGTTTATCCAGAAGATTAACTGTCAGTTTTTTCTGGGAATTAATTACCATATGACCACATTTTGATCAGACAAGTTGAAATTGCATGTTCTCAGATTTCTGCTTTATGAGTAACTGGAATGTCTGTAATTTGTTATATTACACAAGTGGTTAACTTAAATAGGCATGACCACTAGCCATACCTGGCCCCTCACCTGGTACCTGGTGTCTCTTGGCATCATCAGGATATTTTGCAGAGACTGGTGCCTCCTTCAGAGGGTTCTTTTTCTCTGGCGTGGTCCCCTCTGTTCTGGGCAGGCCAGGTGTCAGGAGGAACTGCCTGGGAGAACTGGTCCAAGGACTTGGTCCTCATGTCCATCGACTCTGAGAGTCAGAATAGCCTCCCCGTCCCTGCCCTCTCTCACCCTGGCTCCCCACTCCCTTGGGCTGCTTGACAAACCGTGCCAAGTGTGGAGGGCGAGGCCTCATTTCTCACCATTTGTGCTGCTCAGGGCTTTTACCTGACTTAACTGACCTGCTTACCAGTTACAGGAGAAGTTGGCTTCAGCACTCCCTTCTTTTTTTTCCCTCTCAAACTTTCCCCCTAGCCTTGTATTACAGAAGTTTAAGTACACAGGAAAAGAATTATTATAATAAACATTCATGCTATGGTCTGAACATTTGTGTCCCCCTGCCCAAATTCATATGTTGAAATCCTAACCCCACAAAAGTGTATTATTAGTGGATGGGGTCTTTGTGAGGTGCTTAAGTCACAAGGGTGGGGCTCTCGTGAATGGGATTAGTGCCTCATAACAGTCTCCAGGGCAGTCCCGGCCCCTTCCACCTGTGAGGACACAGTGAGAAGATGGTAGCTCTGAACCAGGATGGGGGCTCTCTCCAGAACGCCACCTTGATCTTGGCTTCCAGCCTCCACAACTCATAAACAATTCCAATTGTTTATGAGCCACCCAACCAGTGCTGTTTTACTATAGCAACCTAAATGGACTGACATCTTGTGATCTACCCAGTTATAAATATAAATATTTACAACAGTTATAAATATTTTGCTATATTTGCTTGACCTGTGTCTGTGTATGTGTATTTATTCCTGAGCCATTGAAAGTAAGCTGCAGAAGCCATGACATTTCTCCCCTAAATACGTGAGTGTGGATTTTCCCCAAACAAGGATAGTCTCCTCCATAATTATACCATTATCACATCTAAGAAGATTACTAATGATTCTATAATATTTAATATTCAGTTGATATTTTAGTTTCTGCAGTTCCCTTCAAAAGTTTGGTTTTCCAGACCAGGAGCCAACCAAGGTCCACATGTTACATTTGTTATTGTGTCTTTTTTAATCTGTTAATCTAATTTGGTCTCCTACCACTCTTCCTTTTTTGTTTGTTTTTTTCCAGATGATACTGGCTTTTTGAAAAAGGCAGGCCAGTTGTTTGTAGAATGACTTACATTCTGAATTTGATTTGTTATTTCTTTGTGGTGTCGTTTAACTTGTGTAGTGTTCCCTGTATTTCCTGTGAACTAGAAACTCAGCCTAGACTAGCACCTCCCAGTAGAGCTTTGTGGTGATGGGAACTTTCTATAGATGCTGTCTGATAACAGTTGCCACTAGCCATACGTGGTTGTTGAGCACTTAAAATGTAGCTTGGTGGAACCTAGGAGCACCCAGAAAGCTTCCAGGGTCATATGAGGAGCATTGCCAGCCTCCACTTTAGCCTCCTGCATTCAAGTGCCAGGCACAGGGCTGGCATGTCAGGGTTCAGGGAAGGCCCGCAGGGTCGGGGAGGAAGTCCCCATCTGGTCCTGTGTCTCCTCCCCCTGAAATCCTTGAGCATAAGAAAACATTTGTAAGCCATAGGAAGAAAGAGTTTTTGCTTAAGACTTATTATTTAATAAACCTCTTTATTTTGGGGTGTTTATTTTGTAAACCACCCCTCATCTCTTTTTAAAGATATTTTCTTTTGGCATTTGTAGAGGATGCCTGCTTAAAGCTCTTGGGCTTAAAAATCAAATATCTGTTGAGTTCAAAAGAGTAGATACAGAACAGAGAGAAGTAAATTGTATGTTCTTAATTGCCTTATTTCTTTATCTTTTCTTGGCTTATTTTGTCATTTTTACTGGCCTTATGAAACTTTGATTTAATTAGGTATCTCTTTATATCATTACTGCCATCTATTGTGTTAATAGCACTGTGATAGAGAAATAAGAAGTCCCTGCTTAACTTGTTACTAAAAATGGGGCATCATGTAATACCTTTTAAGATATTTTGAGGGAGACAAGTCAATTTTGGTTATTATTGTCTGTTCAGTTTTTGAGTATCAAAACAAAAACTTGGGCCCATTTTGTATTTAGACTGAGAACTGAGAAAACAGTTTTCTAATTTTATTATCTAATAGGTGTGTTTCTAATTGCAGAGCATCACTGCCTCATTTGGAAAATGATCTGTGATGAAAAATTATCTGTGATGACCAGAGTCAAGGACTTTTTAAGGCTTTAATTACTAACATATGAATCAAAATGCTTTTTATGCCTTGCTTTTAAGGAAAAATCACTTCATAATGGAGTTTCTTTCATCAGTTAGAGCGTGACAGTGATGCTGACATCTTTAAGTTATTAGGGCCAGAACAAACCTGATGCCTGCAGTGCTGATCACAGATGTCCACAGTGCATGTGTATTCCTAAGAAATGGCATGTGTTTCCAGTTGATGGTATAGCAAATAATGCATCCTTGGCTGTGACAAGTAGGACTGGAATACTATGTAGATATCATTCAGATAAGAAATCAGTAGGATTGCTTTCTTTTTTCCCTTTTTAAGGACAGAACTTTTCAGAGAACATCTAATGTGTTACTTTCATGATAAAATAACTGGATTTTCATGATAGCTTAATATCATCAAGGTTTTATTTCCTGAATTAATGAAAGGCTAAGTAAAAGTTCCATCAGTGTTATTTTATTTAAAATATATAACATTTTACAGAATTCAGCTCTTGATATGTGTTGTTTGTGAAATTGTGTAGTTTCTAAGATACACTGAATTTCTCAGCTGTATCAGCTTCTACTGTCTCTTCACTGTTCCTTTTATGTTGTAAAGACTGAAAAATATAGACAGGTGTTGGTTGTAATACTATCTTCTACAAAATCAAACTTTGTTTATTTTTAGATTGAATTTGAGACTCAAATTAAGAAGATGCAGCTATTCCCAAAAGATAGCCTGGGAAAAAAAGGTGAACTGAAAGATGAAGACAAAGAAAAGGTAGTAATTTAAAATGAGAAACTTTCTGTTAACAGAGGATTTTTGGAGTGTTCTTCTTTTAAGATATTTTTTAAATATAATCATCTTATTATAAAGATTTTTTTGATTACACTCTAAGTGATTATTTAAAGACATTTGCTTATAGAGTATTGCTTTAGTGTATAATTCAATTAAACTTGTTGAAAGGCAGTCACCATGGCTGCAAAAGAGATAGATCCCAAAGAAAACCTCAGTGTTCTTAGCAGATGAAATTGTGTTTTTATAATGCTTTGTAGCTGCTTTTTTCTTCATTCCAGAAATGTTTTAAATGAGTGGTAAACAAAATAGGCATTTTGCTGCTTTTCTTTGTATACATAATTTTGTACATTTTAACCTTTTCATAGATAAAGTGGAAGGAAAGGATTGCATCTCTCAGCAGCAGACAAAAAAGAACGGCAAGGAATACTTAAATAAATTCTGCTATGTATCTGCCATAATGCAGGCTTCTAATCCTCCTCCCTATCTCCATATAAATGATTCTGTTCAAGACCATAGATGTTTTCTTCACTAAAAGCAGTAAAGCTCTTTTAGATGAAATGTCTAAAAACATCTTGTAATAACTTGGAGCATGCTGGCAAGAGTAGTCACTTGTGACTATGTGTGAAACCCCCTCAGCAAGTCGATATTGTAATAAGCAAAACCGGGAGCATCACTCCATTATTCAGAGAAGCCAACAGCGTGCTTGCTCCTTAGGCTGCAGCATTCATTAAGAAAAGCTTCCTGGGCTGAAAGCTGGAAACAGATGATAACAGGATATGATTTTCATATTTAATGCTTTCCTTGGAAGAGTATGTGTGCTACAGATTGATAGAAGAATCAACTGCTACTTTACTAAAAGACTTTCAGGTTTGCCCTATAGCTACCGATGGAATCATTCAGCCAAGAAATTAACTTTTTCTCCTTTTACCTGCTTTATATATCTGCTAAGCAGGCTGCCTGGCTGCCAGTAAATGTTATTATGCAGTTAACTGTTTGGTATTTAAGACTCTTATCAGAAAAGAAACAGAGGCCACACTATTTTGTTTTTATAGTAGGAGCAAGGTTTTAGTTTTTCTTTTTCTTCTGTGCATTAGCAGGCATTAATCTGAGTTTATAGAAAGTTTTAGTTTTCCTTCCCAAAGATTAAAAAGTTAAAAAACCTAGAATTTAGAGCATTCTTTAAACTGTAAGATACAAAACACCAAGCCCCAGCAACCTTGACCTATATGAAAAGGCCTTTAATGATAAATGACTTCTCTGCCATTAGATGTACACCAAATGTGGTGTGATGTGATAGACTTCTGAGCCATTCAGACAGTCTTTCTGTTTGACATTTGGTCGTGAAATAATTGACGTGTTTTTAAATCTATAATCCAGTTTGTTCTTTCTGTGCTGCTCCTGACAGTCACAGTGTTAGTATGGCGGTGTCGATGGTACTTAAGCAAAACAGGAGGCTTTTTTTTTTCTATTTGTACTACTGATTCCTTACCTTACATATAGTTATACATATAGTTATACAGTTTTCTTTTCAGTCATGTTTAACATTAGGGCAAGAGACATATAGCAGCCAACCCCCTAACATGTTATATAGAATAATTAGAAGTGTTTCCTTTTTACTGGAAAGTTACCTCCGTAAAAGCTTTGACTCTTGGTGGTATGTAAGAATCAATTAGGTAACACTTTGAGACATTTACCGGTTTCCTTTTTCAATTTCCCATTGATGTTCCATCAATTAAAAGGTAAAGACATTACAGCAAAATCCCACAGTTCAGTTCAGTTCAGTCACTCAGTCGTGTCTGACTCTTTGCGACGCCATGGACTATAGCATGCCAGGCTTCCCTGTTCATCACCAGCTCCTGGAACCTACTCAAACTCATGTCCATTGAGTCGGTGATGCCATCCAAACATCTCATCCTCTGTCGTCCCCTTCTCCTGCCATCAGTCTTTCCTAGCATCAGGGTCTTTTCAGATGAGTCAGTTCTTCGCATCAGGTAGCCAAAGTATTAGAATTTCAGCTTCAGCTTCAGTTCTTCATATGAATATTCAGGGATGATTTCCTTTAGGACTGACTGGTTGGATCTCCATGCAGTCCAAGGGACTCTCAAGAGTCTTCTCCAACACCACAGTTCAGAAGCATCAATTCTTCAGTGTTCTGCTTTCTTTATAGTCCAGCTCTCACATCCATACATGACTACTGGAAAAACCATATCTTTGACTAGAGAGACCTTTGTTGGCAAAGTAATATCTCTGCTTTTTAATATGCTGTCTAGGTTGGTCATAACTTTTCTTCCAAGGAGCAAGCATCTTTTAATTTCATGGCTGCAGTCACCATCTGCAGTGATTTTGGAGTCCAAAAAAATAAAGTCTGTCATTGTTTCCAAAGTAGTTAATACTTACTAAATACTAAACTAGAACAATTCCTTATCATTTGGGAGTGTGTTTTATCTTTCATTGGAAACCTGTGCACCTCTTCTTTCAGCATCATATGAAAGTCTCTGTGCCCGGAGCACTGGTCTCCAGGGACTGACCTGAGCCCCGTGGTTGAATTCAGTGGATCGTTGTTGAGCGAGTGCTCTGTTTGAGAAGCCACAGCAGGTCCCTCTAGGAATGCCACAATGCTTGCCCTCCAGGTGTTCCCCGCAAAGTGCTGTTCTTTCCCAGGCCCGGGGTAGTGTGTGCTGAGGGCCAGCTCGATGGAGAAAAAGGATTCATTTCCTCTGCAGTGTGTCCTCTGCGGCCTGGAGAGGAGGTAGCATGTGAGCTGACGTGAAGGGTGGGGCAGGTTCCAGTCCCCTGGGATGTGATAGACATTCTCCATTCTGGATGTGTTGTGAATGAGGGAGTGGAAGCTGAAAGCCTGGTGGGTAGCTGTTGGCCTGGCTAAGGGCCAATGTTCTTAGAGGAAGTGGGAGAAGATGAGCTTGGAAAGGACCATCGTGGAACTCCAGCCCAGGCTCAGTGATTGAGATCCCGCGCCACCCCCAAATCAGTGTGTGTGCACGTGCGCAGTGGGGCAGGTGGAGGAAGCACTGGGGTGCAGAGCGGTTCCATCAGAGGTAGAGGAAGGTGGGGCTGGCAGGTGCCCTGGGGGAAGGAGCTCATGGAGTGAGGAAACCAGGCTTTGTTCAGATGCAAGGAATGAACCAGGAACCCTGAGTTGGGGTGGCCATTGAGATGGAAAACACCAATGAAGGGGAAAGGAGCTTTCAAATTCGTGATAATTCTGAATTACAGAAGGATATCTTTAAAAAGTGGTTGTGCACCTTTCAACCAAAAGCAGTAACTTGGATGCTCTACTAAGGAGAATGATCAGATAGTTGTCTGTTTTTTAGGGTAAACTTTGGCTTGGTTTTATAATAGGGCACCCAGTGTGTCTGTGCATCCAGTGGCTGCTCTTCAGAGTCGGTCATGTGTTCTCTTCAGTAGTGATTGGTCTGTTCATCCCCCACTCTTGTTTCTAGTATTAATCCGCTTAGTAAACGCTCGTTGTTAATTAACAGGAAAGACAAAGTTCAGGTCCTAGTTTGAATCCTCACAAATTTTATTATCATATAGTCATCCTGCTCTATTATACATTGTCATTTTTTTACTTTGGGGTAGACTCTAATACCATTGGTCTCTAGGCATGTTCTTCTCTTTGCCCAGTTTTATTATGTATCAGCAGTAACTAGGACATGTGCCTAAAAACACATCAAAACATATGTACCCAGGAGAGGTGGAGATGGCATTTGTGAATGAGAGCATCAACTTTGAGGTGGGATTTCTGAAGTTTCTAAACTGTTACACTGTAAAATATATGCCCCTAAAAGCAGAAGTGAACTGGGTATTTCACAGAAAAATTATACCCTACCAGGACTGAAGGATGTAAAGGACGAGAGAATTTCATCACAGGGCTGCATGCTGGTTGAGGAGTTCCACTCCCACTGTTGGAAACTTCCCTGCCAGAGTCACATAGAAAATGGCTGTGCAGGTTGTTATTTCCGCTTCTAATCCTAATAGTAAGAACAGGGAACAGTCACTGCACATCTATTTTGTCAAGGCCTGCAGTAAGCACTTTATATTCATCAACTCATTTAATCCTGTCGACAGTTCTGGAAGTAGATACTATTGTTACCCTCATTTTAGAGGAAGGCTCAGAGAAGTTGGCTGACTTGCCAAAGACTGCTCTGCTTGCAGGAGCCCAAGTTCAAACTCAGACCATGTCCATCTTATTAGCCATCTTGCTGCCACTGCCTTCTAAGGTAGTCTGGGTGAAATGCTCTTCAAAAGTTAGGAGAAATCCCTAATCGAATAAAAGCAGCCTCGTCACATGGTGCAAAATAATTCAGTTATCCATTTAGATGTCACATTTTCACCTAAGCATAGGAGAAACTGAGATGGTCTCCCTTGCTGCTGGAATAGTCCAGCTGGATCAGGTGAAATGGGATTCTGTACAGGTTGAAGTAGAGTGAGAAATTAGACATACACTTCAGGTTCATTATGAGGAATTCTTGTGTTATTATGTAACCCAGTTTGAGTTTAACTCAGTTTTGAGTGTTGTAGCATAATGGATGGGCTATAGAGTCCTTGTATCTGGGTTTGAATCCTGTGACCAAGAGCAAATTGTCTGCCCTTGCTAAGTCTTCCTGGAGTGGGTATAACAAAAACCATTGTTGCAAGGGTTCAAAAAGTAACCGATAGAAGTTGGCTTGACACCTGGTAAGTGCTTGGCACCTGTCCACTGATCCTTCTGTCACCGTGGTCAGCCATCTTCCTGCTCCCCTGGGCTGGCCGTACTGAGGAGTCCTAATGTCACACCCCTTACCTGTTGTAGTGAGGCCAAAGGTATCTCCCAATTAGGAAACAGAAAGGAAAGCCACCTGGTGGTAACAACACATAATAGATGATTTTCGCGTGATGACAGTACCAAAAAACTTACAAGATGTACCTTTGAAGCCTGAATTTAATGGACCCATTTTGAAATTTTGGTAATTCCAACCTCTATTGGATTTAGTGGCCCGAAACATCTCCTTTTGGCTACAGTTGTGAAAATTTGGTTGAGTCTCTCATCGACCCCAGTGGCAAAATGAAAAGTTAAAAATCACATTGTCATGGAGTCTCAGTCTGCCTGGACTGCCATAACAAAACAGCCCAGACTGGGTAGCTTGAACAACAAATCTGTTTTGTCACTGGCTGGACGTCTGAGATCTAGGTGCTAGCTGGGATGGTTTCTGGTGCAAGCTCTGAATTGCAGACTGTCTTCTCTCTCTGTCCTTGTGTGTCCTTTTCTCTGTGCATGTGTGTGGAGACAGACAGATCTCTGGTCTGTTCCTCTTCTAAGCACAGCAGTCTACTGGATTGATAGACCTCATTTAACCTTTATTATCTCCTTCGAAATCCTATCTCCACATACAGTCACATTGGAGGTTAGGACTTAAACATAATAATTTAGGGAAGGACACAGTGCAGTCTGACACATAATAAAGTGGAAGAATTCCTTCAGGATTGTTATATGTAAATTTTTATTAAGGGATTTGGGGAAGTCTCACTGTGACTTAAGGACTTGTTTACATAGAAACTAAGAGCAGTAATAGTACTGTGTGAAAAGATGGAAATTAGGTCTGACAGCTCCATTTTTCTATTCTGCATTCATCATGATACTAATTTCCTTATCTGTGGGGAAAAATAATAAGAAAAATAAAGATTACCTTCACATTCTGCAAAACATGCAGAATAACATAAATATATTTTTAAAGTGCAATAACGGTCAAGGTCCACCTGCTTGAAAAACTGTAGTTGGTGATTATTAGCTGAGACATTGTTACAGTAGTTCTAAATTTGCTGCTGTCTCCATCAGTGTGGCCTTTCCCCCTTCGCTCAGTAAAGATGAACTCCTGGTTTTAAAAGTTACCTTCTGTTCACTAATAAGTCTTTTCAGTTGTATTCATTTACTTTGCTATAAGTTTTTCCATATACTTTCAGTTTATTTAAACTAAAAAAATTTTCACCATTTCTTTTATTCCCCACTCCTCCACCTCTGGCAACCATTAGTCTGTTCTCTGTATCTGTGAACTTGGTTTGTATTTGTATTTATTTTTGTTTTTTTAATCCAAATGTAAGAGAGATTGGGCTTTCCAGGTGGCTCATTGGTAAAAAAAAAAAAACATCCCCCTGTCGTGCAGGAGATGCAGGTTTGATCCCTGGGTTGAGAAGATCCCCTGGAGGAAGGCATGGCAGCCCACTCCAGTATTCTTGTCTGGAGAATCCCATGGACAGAGGAGCCTGACAGGCTACAATCCATAGGGTTGCAGAGAGTCAGATGCAACTTAGCAACTGAGCATGCACGCAGATAAGAGATTTTATACAGTATTTGTATGACTTATTTCACTTAGCATAATTCCTCAAAGTTTATTCACATTGTTGCAAATGACAGGATTTCCTTTTTTATAGCTGAATAATATGCCATTTTATATTTGTATCACTTCTTTACCCATTCAACCATTATTGGACTCTTAGATTGCTTCCATATCTTGGCTATTGTGAACAATGTTGCAGTATATGTGGGGGTGCAGATATCTTTTCAAGTTAGTGCCTTTGTTTTATTGGAATTGCTAGATCATATAGTAGTTCTAGTTTTACCTTTTGAGGTATCTCCGTACTGTTTTCATAGTAGCTGTACCAGTTACATTCCCACCAACAGTACACAGGGGTTTCCTTTTCTCAGCATCCTCACCAATACTTGCTATTTCTTGTTTTTAGTAATAGCCATTTTAACATGTGTAAGGTGATATCTAACTGTGGTTTTCATTTCCTTTTCCCTGATTATTAGTGAAGTTGAATATGTTTTTCCTATGCTTGTTGGCCATTTGTATGTCTTCTTTGGAAAAATGTCTATTCAGACTTTTCTGCCCATTTTGTTTGCTCTTGAGTTGTATGAGTTCTTTATACATTTTGGATATTGGCCCCTTATCGATATATCAAGACTTCCTGGTGGTTCCGCTGGTAAAGAATCCACCTACAATGCAGAAGACCTGGGTTCTATCCCTGGGTTAGGAAGATCCTCTAGAGAAGACAATGGCTACCCACTCCAGTATTCTGGCCTGGAGAATTCCATGAACTGTATAGTCCAAGGGATTGCAAAGCATCAGACATGACTGAGTGACTTTCACTTTCATCAATATATCATTTGCAAATATTCCCTCCCATTCAATAGTTTTCCTTTTTGTTGATGGTTTCCCTTGCTATTCAGAAGCTTTTGAGTTTGAAGTAGTCTCTCTTGTTTGTTTCTGCTTTTGGTGTCAGATTCAAAAATCATTGCCACGGACTTACATTAAAGAGCTTACCACCTGTGTTTTCTTCTAAAAGTTTTATGTTTTTTGTAAAACATTCAAGTCTTTAATTCATTTTGAGTTAATTTTCATGTGGTATTAGCTAATGATCTAGGTTCATTTTTTTTCATGTGGCTGTCTAGTTTTCTTAACACCATTTATTGATGAGACTGTCCTTTTTCCATTGTATATTCTTGGCTCCTTTGTTGTAAATTAATGACCATATGTATGGGTTTATTTCTGTGGTCTCTGTTCTATTCCATTGATCTATGTGTCTGTTTTTTTATGGAAGTACCATACTGTTTTAATTACTGCAGCTTTGTAATATATTTCAAAATAAAACCACATGATGCCACTAGCTTTGCCCTTCTTTCTCAAGATTGCTTTGGCTATTTGGGTCTTTTGTGTTTTCACAGAAATTTTAAGATTGCTCTGATTCTGTGAAAATTCTGGAGTTTTTTGGTAAGGATTACATTGAATCTGTAGATTGCTTTGGGGAGTATGGCCCTTTTAACAATATTAATTCTTCTAATCCATGAGCACAGACTATCTTTCCACTTAACTTGTGTCTTTTCCAGTTTTTTTCCTTAAAGTTTTATAGTTTTCAACATGAAATCTTTCACTTCCTTCATTATATTTATTCCTAGGTATTTTTATGTAATTATGAATGGGATAGTTAATTTCCTTTTCTGATATTTCATTATTAATGCTTAGAAACCTTCTTTATGGTCCAACTCTCACATCCGTATATGACTACTGGGAGAACCATAGCTTTGACTATAGCGACTGAACAACAACAAAACACAATGAGTTTTCTAAAACATGGTAGGTGTTGATTTCATTGATCATGCTTCCTTACCTCATTTTGTTCCTGAAAACAACCTAAATAACCTCATTGTTCACAGACCGCATGTTTAACTCTTACTTACATTGTTTGGGGCTGCAGGTTGTAATGCTGGCAGAAATTAACTCAGGGACAGCCATATCAAGAGGACTGTATCAACCAGCAACCATCTTTATGGGCCGCCAAATGTCAGCTTTCTCAGGCATTGGAGATTTCACTACAGAGCAGAAATCGCCCCAACCCACAAAGAACTTTTCAATTCCTGACCCACATTCACACTGGCAGACAGCCCAGAGCAGTGATGTGACAGACAGCCGTGTAGTACAAACTCCTGGTGACACACCGTGCTTAAATAAGTCTGACAAAATAGATGGAAAGACATCTCTTCAGATTGGTGAGAAAACGCCAGTCACAGCCAGTGCATTGTCTGAGGAGGAACAAACTCATTGCTTCCAGATAGAAAGCAACGCACGTCAGGGCAAGAGTAATTTATCTGAAAGCAAAAAGTCGGCCGAACTCCATTCCCCGTTACGGGAGAGATTAAGTCCAGAGAACAGAACCACTGATTTAAAGTATGACAGTTCCAGGAGATCAGAGAGATCAGAGGGAGAAATACTGACACTGGAGCATATTGAAGTCAAGGAAGAAAGAGCCAGACCGCCAGTCTCTCCGCTGTCAGACTCAGAATCCTGTGCATCTGAAAATGAGTGTCCTCAAGAGAAGCCCCCTGCTGGGGAAGCTTCCTCAGGTGGGGTGAGAGGCTAAGATGGTTTGCTGATTTTTGTCAGTATTTAGTTTTTCTGGGTGGTGATGGGTGTTAAAAATACAGAATACTGTCTTGTCATATCTGTTCCAAAAGTAGTGACTGTGCCAATGAATTCCATTCTAATGCATTCTTAAATATGTTCATAGAAGTACCTTTGTAAGCAGATTCTCTGATTTTTAAACCCACTGTGATATTTTTAAAATATTTTTAATGGGATTTTAAAAACACCACAGTTAATTGTGGATCATTTCTGTGTGTTCCTAGCTGATGAGTAGTTCTGCTCTGGGAGGTAGAGTATCTTACCTCTCCCAGCTCCCTGAAGTCAGTGATCGGCCATCTGTTCATGTCCCCTTTACAGATCACCTTCCTTGCGGGGACCCACAGTCACAGGAGCCCTTCAGAAAAAGCCAGGAAGAGCAGGAGGAGGAGAGTTTGAGCAGCAGCAGTGACCTCACAGTTTCTGTAAGCGAAGACGATCTGATTTTAAAGAGTCCAGAACCACAGCCAAATCTGGGAGACATCATGGAGCAAGAAGGTGGAACAGAGACCTTAAATGTAATCCACTCTGAGCAAGAAAGAGATGCCCCATCCACCAGAAAACCTAACTGTATTTTGCAAGCCCCAAGCACTCCTGATTCACCAAATGAATCCTTCACTAACTTGCCAGCAAGGGAGTAAGTCATTCATTTTTTTTCACTCTTCAGTTTTAATTATAGATATTTTTAGAGACCATTCCACTGGGAGTATATTATCGAACACTCAGCTATAAGTGTGTAAGTTCCTTAATTCTCATAGTCTTTTAGATAAGGGCTAGTTTCTTTTTTTTTTTTTTTTTAATGAAATAGCTTTAAAAGTCAATATCATTGAAATCATGGTGACTGGCAGTTTATAATGATATCTAAAGAATCCCTGGTTAATTCATAAGTAATTCCCTCTACTTCTTACCCACCATTCTTTTAGAAAACCAGTCATTTTGGACTTGCAGTAACACAGGTGACAAACACTTAAACTTTTGAGAATTCAATTTTTGAGACTGAGAACTTTGTATCTAATTAATTAATTTGCTTAATCCTTCTATCCCTTTCCCTTGTGTCATTTTTGTGATACAATTAAATATGCATTAATAAGTTTTAATAAGTATATATATAAGGCAGCTTTCCTTTTCTGAGTGTAAATGTGAGGACATTGGAGCCTTTAAGGTTCAAGAGGAGTGTCAGTGTTATATATTTTGAGCATTTATAAAATCCAAGTCATAAAAATTCATATGCGATTTTTTTTTTTGTATGAGCTCCCCTGGTAGCTCCTCAGATGGTAAAGAAATCTGCCTACAATGCAAGAAACCCAGGTTCGCTGTTGATTGGAGATAGTGGAGTTGTAAGAAACATGAAAACAACATGTTGAGAATCAGTTCTGCAATAAGGGTAGCACTAACAGCATCAAATATCTTAGAGGTACAAGGAACCTAAGTAGACAAGCTTAGGGAGCAAGTAAACCTAAGCTCCCGAAGTAGAGCTCACCATCTAAGATGGGACACTAGGACTTCCCTGGCAGTGCCGTGGTTAAGACTCCATGCTCCCGACACAGGGGGCTTGAGTTCAGTTGCTGATCAGGGAACCAAGATCCCCATGCCACACAGAGCAGCCTAAAAAATAAATGAGGACACCAAGGCCGGGCGAATAGGAATGACACCTAGGATGTGGGGACCAACCCTCCATGCAGCCTCCCTGCCCCCATCCCACCTTGGAACATGTGACACTGTGATGCCATCACTCGCTCTCCAGCATTCCCAGCAACAGTGAAAAGCCAAGTGGATTTCTTGCACATGAGGATGTATGTTCTCTTTAAAGTACCATTGTAGCTTTTAATATATTGCCTCTTACCCCTCATTACCTATTTACAATGAAAAGTTTATAGTCTAATGGACTTCAAACTGATGTTTAAGAAATATTTATTAAGAGCACCCAAGTACAAAGTACTTGCGCTGTAGATGGAAGAACCACTGTGGTTCCCATCCTTGGGAGATTGGCTTTATGGCAAGCCCAATGGGTTTTTCTAGTAATGGTATTTGTCTCTCATTAAGGAGGTATGGGCTAATATGTATTACATCATTAGGAACTTTATTACTAAGAAGAGAATGTTTCTATTTCAGGTAGTATTTACCTTCTTTTTATAGCAGTTCTTGCACAAGTTGGTATTTTGGTAGGAGAAGTAGTGGACTTACTCAGGACTCGGTCCTTTTTTGAAATGAATAGGTTGAGTATGAGTGTAGAATTAAGGATGTTCTATCTCCTATTCTGTATGAATGACTGTTTCTTATGACCCTAAAACCAATCTTCTTGAAATTTGGGGGTATATTTTACCAAAAATTGTTGAAAAATAAGCATTGGAGGAATTTTTGAAGGTTTATCATAATAGAATGCCCCCAGAATGAAAGATCAGTTGGTGATGCTGATTTTCTGTGTCCATGTTATTAAATCTGAGCCTGTTGATCTTCTGTGGTGAAAGTCCTCCCCAAGCATAGGTTGACAGTGGTTTTATTTTTCTCCTTACAGTGGTTTTAAGTGGTGCTGGTTACCTTGCAGACTTCCCGCATCTCTCGAGACCCTGCACTCTCTTCCTTTCTCTCAGCCTTTGCTCTTCTCCTTTGCTCAGAGGGTTATTTATCTGATCCTGTGTCTTCACATTTACAGAATACCGCCCTGACGTCAGAGCTTCTCAGTTTACTTTAGTGTCTGTTGGGGGCCTGAGAAAAGTTACTAAAATGAATTTTAGTTAACAAAGCTAAAGAGGTGGGACAAAGGAAGACAGCAGGAGTTGAACAGGAAACCAGACCCTCCCGATTTGCTGAGATTGATGATGACGACTTCAGGCATGCCTCGGAGATACTGTAGACACACAATAGAATGAGTCTTGCAAGAAAGCAAGTCACACATGTTCTTTGGTTTCCCTGTGGGTCCACGCTGTAGCATGTCTCAGTACTTCTTTTAGTCTTATGACTGAATTGTATTCCAGTGTATGGATAAGCCACATTCTGTTTATCCACTCACCTATTGATGGACACTGGGTTTGCTCCACCTTTAGAAGCTTCTCTGCCTTCTCTCACGGACACCTCCAGATGTAGAGCTCCATGCTGTGATTCCTACACCTGAGCTGTAATTACAAGCTGTAATTAACCTTTCTCACAAGCACCCTTACTAGAATGAAGCTGGGTAAAAGAAATGTTAAAAAGGAGGACCTTGAATCTTGTATTTTCTCAAGGAGTGAGCAGTTCACTACAAAGTTTGGCACAAAGCTCCAGGACTTTGAACACTAGATGTTCGTTATTTGTCATGTGGCAGGTGGTTGACCCTGTGTCATTTGGGGCTACAGGGATAACTTGGCCATTTGTCCCTCATTTGGGGGATTATTTCAGCCTCAGTCACCTGGGAGAGGTAGCGGGGTTCCCAAGACAGCAAGAGAGAAGTCCAGTGCACAGATGCTCTTTCAGTATCTGCTTGCATCTTGTTTGCTAATGTCTCGTTGTCTAAAGATACCCAGGGGCCCAGCGCAGAGTCAAGAGGTGGATAAAGACAGCCCATCTCTCGTTGAGATGAGTGGCAGAGTTACATTGCAAAGGGTGTGTACCCTGCAATGAGAAGTTTATGGTCAGTTTTTTTAATCCACCACAGTACTTTAAGACAAATTCAAATAGAGATAAGCTTGGTGTGAGTCCAAAGGGTCAGGAGAGGTTTTATACAGGTGTTGATGCAGCATCTTGAAGGATGTCCAGGCTTTGAGTACGGAAGAGGATGGTAAGGGGTGGAATGGGTCTGAAGAAAGAGTGCAGGTACAGAGAACACAAGCGGTGGGGCTGGGTGGGCAGGCAGAGGACCTGAAGGCTTGTCTAGGAGCAGCTATCAGAGTGGAGGTTTGGAATGTCACCATGGTTGAGAAAGGCCTTCAATATCCAGTTAGTGTACATATAGTTCATCTCTATGTTCTGCAGAGCAGTTGAAAGCTATTTTGAGAGAAGGATAATATAGCGAATCACTTGATTTAGGAGAAACAGTGTCGTCAGGATGACTTACTCACGAGCTAGCCAGAATTCTGAGATGGCCCCTGATATTCCTGCCCCCTGGTGTACCCCTGTGTGATCCCCTCACCTGCGATGTAGGCAGGACAGTGAGGGTGGTAGAGCGCCCTCCTGTGATCAGGCTGGCATATGGTGGAGAGGAAGAATCTTGCAGACAAAATGGCTAGAGGTGTGTCCAATTTTTTTGAGGACCAGCTTTTTGTTTTGTTGATTTTCTTACTTGTTTTCAATTTCATTGATTTCTCCTCTAAATTTTATTATTTCCCCTGCTTGCTTTGGATTTAATTTGATCTTTTCTTTCTCGTTCCCTAGGGTGGAAGCTTAGATTATTTATTTTAGATCTTTCCTCTTTTCTAAAACATCTATTCAGCGTTATAAATTTCTCTGTAAGCACTGTTTTCACTCCATGTCATGAATTTCGATAAGTTGTATTTTCATTCAAGATATTTTAAAATTTCATTTAAGACTTGATTCATGTGTTATCTAGAAATGTGCTATTTAATCTCAACACTTTTAGATTTCCTATAATCTTTGTTATTAATTTTCTTTTGATCTGAGAGCATACTTTCTATGATTTTTGTTCTTTAAACTTTGTTGAGGTGTATTTTATGACCCACAGTGTGGTTTGTCTTGGCAAATGTACCGTGCGACCTTCAGAAGAATGTGTATCTTACTGTTACTGGATGAAGTATCTTTACATGTAAGTTAGATCAGGTTAATTAATGGAGCTCTCCACTTCAGCTGTATCCTTGCTGACTCTTTACCTGCTGGATGTATCAGTTACTGATGGAGGTGTGTTAAAGTATTCAGCTGTAAGAGTGGGCTTATCTATTCCTCCTTGCAGTTCACCAGTTTCTGCCTGGGTATTTTGATGCTCTGTTGTTGCATGCGTACACATTAAGGATTTTTATAATGTTCCTTGGTGTGCTGTTTTGGTGTGTTTGTCCTGCTTGGTGTTCTCTGAGCTTCCTGGATCTGTGGTTTGGTTTCTTTGGAAAATTCTCAGCCGTTATTTCTTCAGATATTTTTTCTGCTTCTTCCTCTGTTTATTCTAGTATTCCCATTACTTTTGTAAGTTTTTTTTAAGAGACTTCCAAACTGTCTACCAGAATGGCTGGAGCATTTTTCATTCCTACCAGCAGTGAGTGGCAGTTCTGTCACTGCCCATCGTCACCAGCATTTGGTGTCATCAGTGTTCTGAATTGGGGGCATTCTTGTAGGTGTGTAGTGGCGTCTTATTGTTGTTTCACTTTTATTTATTGTTTGTTTACTGGCCATGCCACGCATCATATGGGAATCTTAGTTCTTGGACTAGGAATGGTACCAGCGCCTCCTGCAGTGGAAGCTCAGAGGCGTAACCGCTGGACCGTCAGGGAATCCCCGTCATTGTTGTCTTAATTTGCATTTCCCTGGTGACATATGATGTGGGACATCTTTCCATATACTTATTTGCTGTACATAACATCATCTTTGGTGAGATCTCTCTTTAAGTCTTTGGCCCACTTTTAATTGAGTTGCTATATTTTCTTACTGTTAAATTTTGAGAGTTCTCTGTATATTTTGGATAACAGTCCTTTATCAAATATGTCTTTTGCTACAAAT